GCCAAGTGTGATTTCAGAGGAAATGCCATAATCTGGTTCTGCATAGAAAGCATACACAATAACCTATTTTACTAATTGTGGGTAAAAATGCTTACTACTTCCTTGCCAGGCTCAGTCAACTGGAAGGTCAGAAATGACAGGACATCATGATCATCTGTATTCAAGAAACAAAACAAAACCATGTTACAAATCCCAGTACTTTCCCAGTCAACCTTCTACTTGTTCAGGATCTTAAGGCAATAGCATCCTCCCCAAAGTCCTCTCAAGAGCTTGTGCAGTGGGAAATGAGACTGTACAATGCCTAAGCACATCAGTGGTTTGGGAATGGGAGAGGATCAATTACATCACCATGGCCAAAATTAGTATAACGGATCAGCAGCAGCAGAAAAGCCCCACAACCTCTCCTGCCAGTCCTGCAAGTCCCCACACCACTTGTCATAATTGTTAACATTTCCTACCTGCAAGTCCCCCTGTTGCTGCAGATATTCCAAAATACCCTTGGGATGGCAATGTCATATCCTCCACTTTAGCACAAAGTTCATAGTCATCTTTATCCGGAGTAAAGCCATTGTTTATTAACACCTAGAAGGATAAACACGACTTTTACCACATAGATCCATTTCTGTTAATTGCTTTGTCAGTTTACAGTAATGGTCACAAATACACAAACTGGGCAATTCAGCAGCTGATACTAGAAACCCAAACCTACTTCTTTTGTGAAAGACACATTTTACAAAGAAAACGCATAAGCTTGTGTTTCTGAAAGGAGGAAAAGGACCGATGCGACGTTCAGCATGAACAAATGTCAACATTCTCTATTCATCACCTAAGGCAACACAGCACCCAGCATTCAGACACATTCAAATAGATTCATTTCAGATATAAAACCAGCAAGACAAATCAGTGTGTGGAAAGGAACACACAGGGGACAGGGACCCCATCAAGAGAGGTGAAGGTAAGCCAAGGGATGGTATAGCATGTCTGAGGGTGCTAATGGCAACACTATTCCAGGGAGCACCAAGGGTTTGGGAGCACATCCGAGATGCTTGTGCACCACACATGCAGTGTGAGAAACAAACAGGACAAACTGGAAGCTTTGGTCTTTCCAAAAGCTACAATATCACTGAGAACAGTGAGATTTGGTGAAATGAGTCCCACACCTGCAGCGCTGGGACGGAGGGGACAGCTGCCCAGGCTGTCAGCTCTGGTACAAGACGTGGTACAAGAAATCCCTGAGTCAGGGACCATTAATGCCAGGCCATCATCAGCGTACAACCTAATGAGGTGTTGGGCAAGACAGGGTTTTGGTCTGACCTACACAAGTCATCCCCTGCAGTTCTTAGGTAGATTCAAAGCTTAGAGAGGTTCTGCAAATGCATCCTTGGAGAAAGAGAGAACCGCTAAGGTTAGCAGCAACATCTGGGACAGAGGAGGTCCTAGATGAGGCATGAGGGACCAGGTGGATGCAAAGAGAGCAGCCTTGGAGCCTGACATCCAATTTTCATGCAAGAGTGACAGCCTTTGCCACTACAACACAGTACAAGGTGCATTCATGTGTGCTTTTAGAGAAACTTTGACTATAAAATGACAGCTCATGTTAGTCGTCACGGCTAACACCTATGGATATATGGACAGCACCTTTTCAGAAGAAATCAGAAGCCAAACAAACACTTTGTAGTTGTCACAGCCCAGCACCAAATTAGTATTTTTCTCTTATTACCTGGAAGGAATTCACAATCATCTGAACAGTATTTAACAAGACTTAAAGATTTCCTTATACCAGTGGTTTTCTATCATTTTTAGTCTTCAAAGCCCTACTATTTCTTGGAGGTGAGAAGCCTCAAATAACTAATTTAAATCTACTGTCAAAGAGAGTTTCAGCTTTTTAGTCACATTTCAAGAACCTGTTACCATCAGCTACAAAACCCTCTGCCGCTCTCAGATCAGCTTGAGAAATACCACGTTAAGGAGCTGAGAAACAGATGCTGGCTTTGGGACACCTCTACAGGCAAGACAACAGCTACAGAAGAGTGTGAGCACACACCGGTATGTTTGCACGGCTGACTCCTAAGTCACATCAGAAGAATCAGCAATATCTGCCCAGTCAGCTCAGGATGCACTACAGATGAACTAATGCAGCCAAAAGAACTTGTCCAGCATTTAAACATACAGAACCTCCTTCCAGCTTCTGCTACCAAGCTCAGCATTCCCAAGCACACTGAAGTAACACACGACGACTTCGGGTTTTCACATAGTTGCAACAATCTCATGCCCAAAAAGCTGATAAACATGAGTACTTAAGCTATTCCAGAGTACTTACAGTCAGGGCTTTTTGGTAGTATGTTATCTTGACTCGAACAGGGTAGGGCTTGTTACGGAAGTCCCTCTGACAGGATGCCAATGCTTGAGTGGAACCATCACTACGCAAGAAGACAACTTGCATAAAAACCTATGTTATGAGTTATCAGCTAAGACAAAAAAGTGTCAACGTATCACTAAGCAATGTCATGACAGGTATTCAGTATGCAAGTTTTTTCAGACACTGTCCCACAACTGCATGGAGCTTGTCTCAAGTCTGGGACCTACAGAACGAGACACTCTACACTGAGTGGAACCATCACTACGCAAGAAGACAACTTGCATAAAAACCTATGTTATGAGTTATCAGCTAAGACAAAAAAGTGTCAACGTATCACTAAGCAATGTCATGACAGGTATTCAGTATGCAAGTTTTTTCAGACACTGTCCCACAACTGCATGGAGCTTGTCTCAAGTCTGGGACCTACAGAACGAGACACTCTACACACAATGTATCTCAAGTCTGGGACCTACAGAACGAGATGCTCTACATAGGACACAATGTAGACAGAATGCAGGAATGGGGAAATCTGCTTCTGTGATACATTCCTGCACCAGTGAACGGAGGTGGAAACCAGCTGCAGTTCAGACTGCACCAACCAAGCCAGACACCCCTCTCCTCAGAGAATCCAGAAAGCTGTCAGCTGTGCTGTTGACAGCAAACAATCAGAAATCAAAAGTAATCCAACTGATTTTAGCTTTCACTTAGTCACTTCTGTCAGTTACTAACTGTGTGTGGAAGAGGCCCATAAGCAGTGAAGAGGTAAAGTCTGTACCTCTCTTTATCTGAGTCCACTCATCCCAAAGGCCATATGCCATTTAAATATCCCTCAGCTGCCAAATTCTGTGCTCTTACTGCCAAACCACTGTTTCAACAAATAGAAAACCTCAAACGTAAAGGAAACATCATAGTTTCATATGAAAGAAGTCTTTATCATGTTTCTCAAAGACTTTTGTGCAACATTTCATCATTCAAAAGCAAGCATTCATCAACAGCACTGAACACAGACTTACTTCTGATGGTCATACAGGAGGTTTCCATTGTTGCCTACAACTATCACTCCAGGGTTGTTTTTCTAGAAAAAGAAATAGCAAACAAATGCAACGGTTTAATTCAAAGTGAAACACAGGCTGTCAAGGGATGTCACTTTTCTGTGATACTGCACTTGAAGTCATTACACCTCAGGTACACCACAGATTTGACATTGGTTTGGCACTCCAGAACTACACTGACAAGCTGCATGCTCTGCACGTGACACGTTCTGTGCACAGCTAGAGGTGAAACAACACGTGCAAACTGAGATCCTGGGTATGCTACCAGTTACCATAACCTAACAAATATAGAAACAGAGGAGCCACAGAGAGGAGAATTTCATATGTAGTGAAGACAGAGCTCTTGAAACTAATAGAAAACTTAATACATCCAACTTTGCATGTTTTCCCAGTGTTATGTAGCCAAGCAGACACTGTGTTGATGTCCTACTGACCTCCTCACAATCACCAGAAAAACCTCAGGAGCTTTCTGTCAGAGACTTAACAACGACTGTCAAACACATCCCCAGTTATTTAAATTGCTAGAGGATGAAAACAAGCTAAATGGCAACAGCAGAAGAACTGCAGAGGAATTTCTCCATCCTGGGACTGAAGAGGTTGTCGTTGAAAAATGTCTCATAATCTCCAGCACTTAGGACATGTCAGACGAATACCAGCATGGTCAAGACTTTTGTTTTGACTAGAAGTGACACATCATCACCTTCTACAAAGGGTTCTACACCACACTGACTGAACTTGTCATGATCAGAGTCCCAGTGCTATCAGAGATCTGGCAAACAGTGCTGTCCATGTGAGATTTTTGGTGGATGGCATTCCCAGCCAACTAAACTACACCAGTGTCCATGTTTATGCCAGTGTCCATGTTTATGCCAGAAGCCAGGGAAAAAGGAAAAAAAAAAGAGGGTTTTAAAATTCTTAATAAGTTGAAGAATATTCTATGTCTTGTCTTTGACACAAATGTCACCTTCAGGTTTTCAATGTTTTACATGGGATGAAGTTTGCT